GAAATCACGGACAAGTAGCGAAGTTATGGACTTTGTGAACCTACTTTATTTAGGTGGATAATGTGTATGTGTAAATCACGGACAAGTAGCGAAGTTATGGACTTTGTGAACCTACTTTATTTAGGTGGATAATGTGTATGTGTAAATCACGGACAAGTAGCGAAGTTATGGACTTTGTGAATCTACTTTATTTAGGTGGATAATGTGTACGTGTAAATCACAGACAAGTAACGAAGTTATGGACTTTGTGAACCTACTTTATTTAGGTGGATAATGTGTATGTGTAAATCACGGACAAGTAGCGAAGTTATGGACTTTGTGAATCTACTTTATTTAGGTGGATAATGTGTATGTGTAAAATAACGGACAAGTAGCGAAGTTATGGACTTTGTGAATCTACTTTATTTAGGTGGATAATGTGTATGTGTAAATCACGGATAAGTAGCGAAGTTATGGACTTTGTGAACCTACTTTATTTAGATAGATAATGTGTATGTGTAAATCACGAACAAGTAACGAAGTTATGGACTTTGTGAATCTACTTTATTTAGGTGAATAATTTGTATGTGTAAATCACGGACAAGTAGCGAAGTTATGGACTTTGTGAACCTGCTTTTCGGTTTGAATATTCTGGTTAGTTTTATACAGTTTTTGATACTAATCTTAAGGTAACTTTGCGCTGTTGACTTATTTCTTACGTAGGCCTAAGTAAGCTAGCCGAATATTGTAAAACGCTTGAATGATTATACACAGAAAAGTCATTAAATCTAAAGTAAGCAACTAAAGATTTAGTGAAATTTACGGTCTCGAAATTGTAATCCGTATTATGATTACAATTTGTCTTCGATTTAACTCCAATAACTAATCATAGAACTAGTACAACTATAATGTTTAACTTAAATTAGATTTCACACACGTTTTATATATTTATATTACTGCTAAATTTTTGTTACTAAAATTTGATTTAATTTCATTTAATTCAGTTTTAATTAAAAATATTCAACTTGTTTGTGCTCAGAAGTTAGCACTAATAGATGTGTTATTGTCCATTATATAATTCCTATGTGTTTTATAAATTCACACAACAATTGTTGCAGTTGATAAAATTATATCAAAACCTTGTTTTCACGTAACAGTATTAGTTTCATGCTGGTGTGAAGTTTCCGTTATTTCCGATCCAATTACTCTCGGTAATCTCCGGTATGAGCAATTACTCTAGAAACACAAACATAATACGAAAGCGAATTATATTTATTGATTAAGACAAAATAAAAGTGAACGGAAATTGTAGTATTTTACTCCTACGTAGTTGTTTAGATAACGAGGACTTAATTAAGTACACTAATATTTGCAGTATTAATTCACTAGATTCAAATTGTATTTACTCAGATAATTTGTTTGTTTCTAAAATTTTCAAATTTACCTTATGGGACACATGGGCTAAACGACCAGACCAAAGTAACCTAA